TTATTATATGAAATACCACATGAAAATTAATTAGAATTAAAATTAAAAGTTGTATAAAATTAAATATAAAAATAATGGATTTTTCTTTTAATTTTAGAATATCTTGTAAATATAAAATTGGTTTTTATATAAGATACCACATGAAAATTAATCACAAAAGTTATATAAAATTAAACATAAAAATAAAGGATTGTTCTTTTAATATGAGAATTTTATTTGAATATAAAATTGGTTCTTATATAATACCAAATGAAAATTCATCATAATTAAAATTAAAAATTATATAAAATTAAATATAAAAATAAAGCATTCTTCTTTTAATTTGAGAATTTTTAGGAATATAAAATTGGTTCTTATATAAAATACTACATGAAAATTATTTGAAATAAAAATTAAATGTTTACAATTCAGTATAAGAAAAGAAAAATCTATCGCCGTCTTGAATTAAAAGAAGTTGTTAATTTTAATTTAATTAATTCTCATATGGTCTTCTAAGAGCCCAATTAGTTTATATTTAAAAAGAATTCACAAATATAGAGGCATTTTTCTTTACGTGCTTATATTTCATACCTTCTATTGTTTTTAATAGATTTTTATACTTTAATGAAAAAGTTCAATGCAAATTAAAAATAATTAATTTAAAATAAGAACGAAGTAATTTGAAGTTAAAAAAGGTTAATTTTAAATTTAAATATTTAATTTGAAGTTAAAAAGGGTTAATTTGATTGTAATGGAATAACATGTATTATTCTTAAAGGGGTTGAAATCTTAATTTAACATACTACTTCGTATTTTTATGATCCATCTTATATTCCTCATTCCTATATTTTAATACATATAATATAAATGCTTATGTAATTAGTATTTTTTGGTGTTATTGGCGCAATTAAACAATTTATTTTGAAAAAAATTGTTAAAACTTTTAGCCAGTTTTCTTATCCTTTAAGCAACAAAATTGATGGGATCATCGTCATTACTCTAGCCAAATAATTACAAAATAGTTTTATGGCAAAAGCATGGCCAGGTCCAGGTTTTGTTTCCAAATGAATAAAAGCCGTTCTAGTAAACCTATAAACTTCTTTCATTTTGTGTGTATCATGAAGATTTTGATAAATATTGTCTTTTGTTTGTTGTTGAATTTGGTCTGGAATGATAGCACAACAAGATCATTCGGTTGAATAAGCAAGCGATAATTTCGCGAATTGTTTCCTTCTAAAACCAGTCAATCACAAACATAACATGAACGTCAAAATACGGACAATACGAAAATGTTTGTTAGCATTGCCCCTCACTCTGTACATGTATCACAGTATACACTCCGTATTGAAGTTGTTGATGATGAATGTGGCTGTTTATCAACCACCCCGAATGTAATTCTACCATTCTACCACTCGATAATGAAATGTTTACGTAATCAGATATTATGTTTGCTTCAAGTAAGCGGGGAAAATACTCGGCGCATTTTCTGCGATTATCCTTATTTTTTTTCAGTTTTACATATAGCTTGGGCATGCTATTTTTGCAAAATTTGCATATTTCGAAGACCGACATTTATTTGTACAGTGTAAATAATTAAGACAAATAACGCCTTAAATGAATTGATGTAACAACGGAATCCGGAACTAGACTAAATTATTGTTCGCCGTTGTGCAAATTTACGTGCTTCAAAGATGCTCTGTCTATAAGTTTTCGTATTCTGATCAACGTTTTTCGTGAAATACGTGGTTTTAAAATGTAAGGAGGCAAAATTGTCCGGCCATGGAATTGTTGGCCAAATCACGAGGGATTTAAATTCCTGTTTGAACAAAACATGTAATAAGTTGAGCCATTCAGTCTTTATGATCGATGTTAATCAAGCATTGAAACTCGCATTTTACAGTTGACATTTTAATAATACATAAATTTAAAACATTCATATGAAATCTTTGAGGTCATGAACTGTATTTTTTCTCTTTTTTTCTTTGATCTCTCTTCTCACTGGTTTTGTGCAGTACATACAAAAATTCCATTCAACTGATTTTTTTCATTTTCTCAATAAAAGAAAATTCTGCCCTTAATTTGACTCATTGTTTTTATCAATAAATATTTGTTTATGCTATGTTTTAAATTGGGAATATCAATTAGACGTAAACACACTTAATCGTTAATCCAAAACAAGGATAATGGATTTTTAATGTTTAATTTTTACGAGATTTAAAATGTTTATCCAGTCTCATGTGAATTCGGAAGCAATAAACTGTTAAGTTTTCATAGTTTTTTTCTTAATTTCAATTTTTAAACTTAAAAAAGACTCTTAGTGCTGAGGGTGTTGCGCGTGGTGTGGCTCTTTTTGATGATGGACGTTCCAGCACGTATGCAGCTATTGCCATCGGAGTTCCCTACGAAACATTGCGAGACATTTTCTACAAACTGGTTCCTACCACAGAAGACCGGGTTCTGGACGCCCTAGGGTAACAGAACCACAGGATGACCGTTAATGACTGAGAATTTTGCGAAACCGGCACCTTACTGTTGTTCAAGCGATTCATCAGCTCCAGGAAGTTCTGTGTCCAAATTTCTTAACGCACTGCTAGAAGAAGATTAAATCAGTGCGGACTGAAGGCTTTCCGCACCATAAGAGGACCAGAACTGACCAGAATAAACAGAGTTCCACGGTTCGCATTTGCTCGAAAACATAGCCACTGGTCTTTGGACGATTCGTCTGCTATACTTTTTACAGATAAGTGTAGATTTGCTCTACGATCTCCAAATAGGCGTGAAATAAGGCGAAATGAACGGTACGAAACCTGTAATTTTTCCTTTCAACGTAGCTCAATGATGATGTGTGCGGGAATTTCATTGCATAGTCGCACGGAGTTGGTTGTCGTTCGTGGAGGGTCTTTGACGGCCACTTGCTATGTTGATCAAATTTTGGAATATCATGCATTGCCTATCCTCGACGAAATCAGCGACACTCCTATGCTATTGCGCGAAATGCCCGTCCACATGTCGCTCGCATAGTACAACCGTACCTTCAACAGCATAACATCAGGGTTTTAGTCTGGCCAGCTCGTTCTCCAGACTTGAACCTCATCGAATATTTAAGGAATAACCTCAAAAGACGAATAATAGCACGCCCATGATTTTCTGATACACTGCACGATCTTCAAAAGTCTCTTCGTGAACCATGAGCTAACCTCCAGCAAAGACCCATTTCCAGACTGGTAAAAAGTATGCCGAGGCGTCTTCGAGATGTAATCGATGAGGAGGAAATTCGCGATATTGAAAAGTTAATTAAAAATCTAAAACAAAATCAAAACAAATTATACCTGTCCGTCTTTTTTTTTTTTTTCATTTTCTTTAGCAATTTACTTTTGTTTACTTTTTCAGACAAAGACTCAATTATTAAACATTAAAAACGTGAAGCATTGATTATTATTTTTTCAATTAATTAATCTTTAATTAAGGTTTTTGGTTGAGATAAAAAAGTCAGTGTCACGAGCGGGATTCGAACCCACGACCTCCGGCTAAATACGCCGATGCTCTACCACTTGAGCTATCGTGACTTCGAACCGCTCGGACACCAACTTCCCATCTCAACCTCACCTCTAGAATGTTCCCTCCTTTTTGCCATTTTTCAACACACTGACTTTTTTATCTCAACCAAAAACCTTAATTAAAGATTAATTAAGGGGCGTCGGTGGCCGCAAGGTTTAGTCTTTGACACGGCGCTCATCACTGTAAGGTAATGGTCCCGGGTTCGAATCCAGCGGCCCTGCATTCGAACCCGACATACTTACAAATGGGCTTTTTTTCAAAAACACCGGCACCCTGAGGGTTTATATGACCTCTGTTGTTGCGTACCCTCGTTTAAAAAAAAAAAATTAATTGAAAAAAGTTAATTGATCAATCGGACGACGAACTGTAATGGATTGATTATTATATCAAAATAAATACAAATCAATTTATATTACAATTGGGCGGAATGTTTTGCCTGTCAGTGTATATATAATGTTCTTAGACAATCAAGCTACAGGAGAAATCTATATTTTGAAATATTGCTCAAAAGTACTATTTATTTGCAAGACCCTTGTAAATTCTTCATTATTAATCCACGGGCTAGTACTTTGTTTTAACAAGGTTGAATGCATTGAACTGATAAAACTCTGGCTAAATTGTTATAAAGCAAAAGCAAAGTAAAAAGAAAAAATGTTGTTCATAATATCACATTTTATCAATCTTGTTACTAAATTATAAGATTTTCGTGTTAAAATAAATTAATGCTTTTTTGTTTATTTCTTGTATAGTGTTACACATAATTCCAAAAATTTAATCTCTTTAGATAATAAAGTTATAGAAGTGCTTTAAAACACAATTCCTAATCACCTGGGCGATATATTATATATGCCTGTCATGAGNGTGTGTGTGTGTGTGTGTGTGTGTGTGTGTGTGTGTGTGTGTGTGTGTGTGTGTGTGTGTGTGTGTGTACCTTTTTACCTTTCTGTGTACCTTACCTTTTTTCCTCTTTCTCCCTTACCCTTGGGAATTTGAATACCGAGATTTAGAGAAGAAAGGGGGTCGGAAGACAATGTTGCCCTAATTCAATATATATTATATGTAAACAAGTCGAGATGACATGTATTGTAGATGTTATGGGATGGGGATCTCAGGATCCTATCTCCTCTTTGCAGGCCTCTTTCCGAGGCTTCATATTTGTAAACGTTTCCTTTACATCATGTCTCTTTATAACAACTTTAAATCTCTTGTATTCACTTATTGAAGAGCTGTCCTTCGAGCATTTATAACAATGAAAATTAATAATTAATTTTGGATTTTACAATCAATTTGATGATGTTAAAGATGGATAAATAAATGTCTCAATACTAGCTGATAATTATTTTATTTTTTTAAATTCACATAAACCTGCTACAAACAACAAATGTTTGTTATAATTGATATATTAAAATAACTCTATTAAATAGCCCGAATGCTAATAAAACAATGTTATATTTTTTTTTCAGTTGGCTTGAACTGTTCTGCTGATGAAGACTGTGATGACAAAAGTGAGTGCCCGTCAGATTCCATTTTGGATCTGGAAACGAAAAAATGCATCTGCGCGAAGGAACACTGCATGCCACTGATGCGATGTCAGTACAAAACTAAACTTGTATTAAAGCACAATGCCACTGGTGTCCCAGGAGACTGCTGTGACGTATACGAATGTGTGAGCCCATCAGGTATGTAATCAAGATATTTTTTAATCAACAAAAATAAAATCAAAAGGTGGGGTTGAGTTTGGAAGTTAGTGTCCAAGTGGATCGAAGTCACGATAGCTCAAGTGGTGAGTAGCAGCGTATCTAGCCGAAGGTCGTGGGTTCGAATCCCACTCGTGACACTGACTTTTTTTATCTCAACTAAAAACCTTAATTAATTCAAAGATATTAATTGGTCAAGTGGACCATGAAAACTAGTGAATTAAATCAAATGTGTAATTTTTTAGAGAACAATTGTATAGGAGTAACCTGTCCAAAAGATGAAATAAAATGTCCAAATGACAGTTTACCCTTGCCGAGGAAACAGGCAGAAGGGGAATGCTGTAGTGTTCCTCAGGGATGTGAATGCCTCCCTGGGCCTTGTCCAGGGCCTACAGTCTGCCCAAAAGGACAATTTAACAAAGTCAGGATGGCCGGCACTGGAGAACCCGGATCTTGTTGTCCAGTTTATGAATGCCAACTTAAAAGTAATTGTTTAGAATAATTTTCAACAAATATATTCTTGACCTTTTTATTAAGGTGTTCATTTCTTTTCAGATATCAAAACCCATAATTGCATATACGAGGGTAAAGAAATAAGTGATAACTCAACCTGGAAGATGAACGGATGTTTGGATTGCTGGTGTATAAAAGGCATGGTGCTATGTACAAAGTCACAGCCTTGCGTGCCTATTCCTCCAGATTGTCCAAAAATAAGTACACCGCGCGGACAATGCTGCCCTGTTTGCATTTCCAACAGTGAACCAGGTAAATTTCATTTTTACCTACCCCTCCCCTTAAAATCGTTCAATTTATTAATAACTGTGTATCGCCAAAGAACTCGCAGTGAAACCAGGTGGTTGCAAATCCAGTAAAGGTGTTATATATGAAAACGGTGCCTCGTGGGAAGAGGACGACTGCACAACATGTGTCTGCCTTGGTGGAATGCACAAATGCCAAGCTGCAATGTGTCAACATAATGGTAATGGTAAATGATTACATATTTGTACTGTTTATAAGCATAATCATTAATTCCATTCATTTCAAGCAGGAACAATTGAATTGCGTGTACCATCAAACTGCCCTTTTCCCGCCAATTGTAAGCTAAAATGTAAATATGGATTTGCATTGGATGAACACAATTGCTACACTTGCAGATGCAATGGTAAATTTATGGTTGTAGTTGGTCAAACCAACTTTAAAATTTACAGTAATCTTGTTTGTTTCTTCAAAAATACTTCGTTGTTTTTTCTCTCATATTTGAAAATTTAGTTACTTATACTTCTCTTTCTTCACTTCAACAGAAAGCGACTGTACTCTTAACTGTCCTAATGGTTACGCCAAGGATGAAAACGGAGAACAGCTCTGTGAATGTTTGCAAGAACCTGCATTCTGCCCGCCATTAGACAGTTGCACAAAGGAATGTAAGCATGGATTTAAGATGAACAGGCAAGGGTGCCCCATTTGCAAGTGTGATCATTGCAAGACATTGGTGCATTGCACAAAACGGTGTCATCACGGATACCAGACCAACAGCAAGGGGTGTTCAATTTGCAAATGCAAACGTAAGGATATTTTTTATACTATATAGCAGAACAAATATATTTATGTTTTGTTTTTTGACAGCTTCATCAATGGTGAATGGTAGCATTAATCACAGAGTGCCTACAGGCTGCAATACAGGTACTGCTGAAAAAAAAAATCAAATATAAACAAAATGGAAGTTTTTAATTTCTTTTTTTTTCAGATGGTGAAAATCCCAAAGAAGATGGTGAAGTTTGGTTTGATGGATGCAGGCAATGTTATTGCTATGCAGGAAAAGAAATGTGTTCTCTCATTGCGTGTCCGAAACTCGACTGCCCAGATGCGATAGTAAGCAAAAACTCCTGCTGCCCCGTATGTCCAGGTATGTCTTGCAATTGGCCGGATAACAAAATTAAGATTTCACATTTAAAACTTTATATTTTTATAAGGTAACGAAACCAGATCTGGGATGCATGTCGTTTGCTACGGACGTGGCGGGTTGAAATTTGAAGGCGATTCATGGACGGAAGATTGTGCAGAATGCATATGCCACAATGGAGTTGTGATGTGCTATAAAGAAATGTGTCCACCAGTTCTGTGCACGAATCCAATTCCTCCAACGGGAGGCAAATGCTGTCCAACATGTCCACAAGCACTTCAGCTGCCACTCCTTAATAGTTCTAGGTAATCAATCTTTGTTAACAGTTAAAAAAAATGTAACAATAGTGGCATTTTATTAAAATTACAATTTAATACTCAAAATTTCAAAGCGGAAGAGACTTCATACCAAATTCTGGCTAGAATGAACAAAAAGAAAAATTAAATTACTTATCCTTAATGTACATTTTTTATTAGTTATCCTTCTTCCTCACTTTTTTTTAGTGTGTTTACTTAATTAATTATTGAAACAAAACAAAAATTTTAAAAAAGTCATAAAGCAATTCTAGAGTTTTTCCTCTATGAAAACAATATAAGGTATTTTTATGGTGGAACAAAATAAGAAAAGTCTTGGGGTTCAAAGTTTATTTAAATTTAATGCGCAGTGGCTTTACACAGCGTACTAAACAGAACAAGAGCTTTTAAGAGAATTCCTTTGTTCCTTCTAAAAATCACCATTGCCGCCTAAATCATCATTACTCTTGTTACAACATGAAATATTGTGTTTTTGGATTTTTATTTTGTAAAAAAGTATATTCTTTTTAGCTGTGGAGTGGATAGACCTCCAGGAAGTGAGTGGAGACAGGACAGCTGTGTTTCCTGCATTTGTATCAACGGTGTTGCCGACTGTTACACTGAAACTTGCAATCAAATTGACCTGAATTGCAAACATCCAATACAAGTAAAAAACCAATGCTGTCCAAGATGTTTTGGTAAGAATTGTCAGTAATTTATCTATAGTTTATGTCTGAAAAAAGTAATGTTACTATAATTAAAGTAAAATCTAGAAACAACAAATACATCTAGGAAATAGTGCATAAGAATCAGTTTTTTATTAACAATTTAAAAACTCTTGTTTTAATTTATTTATAAATTGTTCTAAACAGATAGCTTTCGTGATCCTAATGTTTGCAAAGAAGGGAACGTAACATTCAACGTCGGGGACGAATGGGAACAAGAAAAGTGTCGAAGGTGTACCTGCGAACCAGGAGGAACAATCATTTGCACACAATCTTTGTGTGATAACCCTTGTTCAGCAAACAAAAATTGCAAAGGTAAGTTTAGAATAATCAAATGGTATTGAAATAATGAAACAGTTTGATAAATATTGATCATGCCCATATACTTTTGACTTGCCATAAAATTTATTTAAACTCAACATCTCTTCTTTAAAAATAAAAAAATAATAATAATAAATAAAAATTTTAAAAAATAAAATAAAAAAGAGATTATCAGTGTTGGAAGTGGTTGAATGTTTTTTTCATTAATGTTCTTTTATTAATTCATCACAATTCCTTCAGATTAGTTTAATATGATGTATGTTTTGCAGAAAATGATGGCAGTGAATCGAAGCTGTTGTTCCCAGTATTATGCTTCCTGATGGGTATCATAATTACTGTACTGTTCGTAATAGCTAAACGCTGCTGCCATCCTCGAGACCAACTCACCATCTGCCAAACCGGTGTTCCGACACATTATCAATACAAAAACGTGCCTAGTTATGACAACCCGACCCCGAGCCCAGTAAAATCTTTGGTGTAATACAATCAGCGACATAAGGAATAGTGTTGAAAGACTCTAAATGAGAGCGGGAAGTCAACGCTAAAAAAACTTTACATCACATATTTTCCCAATTAACATGTGACATGTATGATTACGTGCTTGCTTCTGACTGGTATAAATATTTTGAAAGCAAAGCAAGAAACCAATGGTTGGCAAAATGGGAAAAAATGGTTTTAATTTTATTTTGTGTTCGATGTAAATGTGAAATGTATCTCTATTAAAAAAAAAAAATTAAAAATTAAAAAAGGGATGTTAAAAAACAAGTGGTTAAATGACTTATGTCCATATCTTTGTAAAATTCATATTTAAAACTATATAATGTATGGCTTAAACCCATAACAATAAAGCCTTTGTGATATGTAATTATTAAAATGATATCACTTATTTTCTATTATTAATTTATTTTAAAATTTATATTTTTTATCTCTACCTTTCTATTGGTTTTTAAAGAAGAAATAAACAAATTATATATCACTGATCACTTAGGTCAGCTACGATTAAAAAAAAAAAAAAAAAAAAAAAAATGTCGTAAGAGTTTAGCTCCCTTCTGTAAAGGTGCTAAAATCTCTTTATTTTCTCACTTCTTAAAAGTATTTTATAATCATTGTAATTTTAGTAGTTTCCTTTATTTTAAGTATAATTTGTATGAATACAAAAAAATTAATGTATAAAATAATAATTTTAAAAAACTTTTCTTTAACGAAAATTTTGTCTGCGTCCAAATCATCCCACTGACCTGAGACCTTGCATTCCAAAAATTAGTTCAACTGTTGAGAAAAAAAAATGAAAACAAGCTACAAATAAAATTTTATTTGGTTTATATTTTAAAAAAATATAATTTTGTATTAATTTCATTATTAATATGCATTCCGAGGTTCCTTAATAACAATATCAATTAGATAGTGCCATAATTGTTAATTAAATATTTTAAAAAAATATGATTATAGACATATCATGAGAAAATAGCATAAATTTCTTGATATCTCTCAACAGTACGTGTCTGTTTATCAACAACAATGACTGCCTGTCTCATGGGATGATTTTTTGCAGGAGTGTACATTATGCTGAGGAGAAAGACCAGTTTGAAGATCTAATTTTTATATAAATAAGTGGATCTCAAAACAAATAATTTTTCGTTCTTTTAAGAGGAAAAATCCAATTGTTAGAATTTAAATACACGTATTATATTGTGCTTTTCCTGTCCCTTAAGTGATATTTTCATAAGAAAAGTGTTGAGTCTGTGTGATTTTTTGCATCTAACAATTTAGACTTTGTATCAAAGAAGTGGTGTAATTGTTTAAATTTTCAGTCTGGTGAAATAGTATTTAAATAAATACTTTAAAACTTATCGAAACCCTTTCCTTAGTCACTCTTAATGGAACTGAAAAATGACAATACTATTCTTCAAATTAAAAAAAAACTTTATATATATTATTGTTTGTAACTCCTTGCTAAAAGATCTTGTCTGGGATAATTATGACAAAAGTAGCCCCTTGTTAATTTTTATGCTTTAAAACAGATATATCTGTACCTGAGCTTTCCACATAAACTCGATGTAACCCATGATGTAAATTTTTGGAATATTTTAAGCGTAATCAAAATGGATAAATGACTGTTTGATGTAATTATTTAACAAAAATCTGTAACATGTTTTGAATTAAACAATATGACAAATTGATGTATAAATTTGATGTCTGTTTATAACAAGAATTATTTTTCAATTGTAAATTATATAAAGTGGACAAAATAGTAAGTTATGTGAATGATCTGATGTAATTAATTTATAGGGCCATAGGTAATCAACCATCAGGCATTGTTATTAGGAATGTGATAGTTTATAGAGTATTAATATGATTATGTGTGAAACAATATGGCCATTGTAAAAAATAATAATTACATGAAATTATTTATTATTTACAAGTTTTTTTTTGTTTTTGTTTAAATTAATTCCTATTCCATTTGTTGACCTCTCATTCTCTTGATTAGCAACAAAATTTCAATGCTTGCACAATTATATTATTTAATTTTGTAGTATTATCCACAGTTTAGTATAAGAAGGGTTTTTAAAAATGCAAGAAGGTGGTGTTTTTATCTTTGGATGTTTTGAGCTATGGTTCATCTTCTGCAGCCCCAACTGTCAAAAAGATTTTGTTGTCTTCTGAAGATGGGCCCATAGCCCAAGTGTCCAAAAAATAAAAACAATAAGATGCAAACACCTGAGTTAACAGGGGTTGTCAAAACCATCTCCTCCATTTTGTGAGGGAGATCAACCACGCTGCAAGATCTAGTTGTAGACCCTGGGTTCCTTGGTGGAGCAATGCCTGCAGCCATGCAAATGTGGAGAAGTTGGCATTCCGGTGCTCAGCCCAGAAAACATAGAAAGCTCGATAGGCTCTCCTATCAGGGTCTCAGAGCAATCTCAGGGGTGTACAGGACCAGCCCCTTGGCCAGTCTGTGCTGTGGGATGGGGGTCTTGCCTCTCGAACTTTATAGAGAGCAGGTTACCCTCGATTATGTATCCAGGTTTTGGCCAAGCCAGAGCACCCTCTTGCTAGGACGATCCTCAAGTGCCCGTACATTGTTGTCTATGACATGCTCAGGATTCACTTTGGTTAGGCCTTAAGGAGAGCCGAACTGGGTTTTACAGATGAGTCCAATACCAGCGATGGTGCGGCATGTGCCATGTATAGCGAGAGAGTGGCCACCCAATTGTTGCCTCTTCATTGCAGCATAATACACAGCGAAGCTGTACGCCATTTGGCGCACTATTAGGGCGATACAGACCACCCTTCGGGGTGAAAGTTCGAATAAAAATAAGAATAAAATTGTAAGACAAATCTAAGTACAATTTTGGAATGAGGAATTCAGCAATCAGTGTGATAAAAATATTCTTTCTTTAAACTATTTTATATAAAATATTATTTTATACATAATGTGTAAAGTATTTACAAATTAAAAATATTTTTGTATCGGTTCTCCTAAAATAACTTCCATTTCGTTTACAACTCTTTGACATTCTTTTTCAACCTCTTCTTCGTCATCTTCAAGAAGTTCAGCTAGGCAAGGTACAGTTTCAGGAAGAAGTGGTAAAAAGTCTTCTCCAAGTTTCTCCGCTAGTTTGCAAATTGTTCTCAAGGCTGCCAATCTTACCTGTAAACATTATTATATATAAATATTTTAATTNATTTATAAATTTAAATATTTTAATTTACAAACTCAATACTAAGACTTACGTGTGACTTTTCATGTCGTGTTTTTAAAAGGACTTGGTTATTCAACTGTTTCCATAAAGAATCGTCAGAAGTTGATGTAGACATCTGAGCGATGCAGGGTGTAAGAAGCTTCTCACAACGCTCTTTCCACATTTCCACACCTCCAACTTCATTCTCCAACTGAAATGATATAAAAAGTGGAGTATATAAAATGCATACAATACAATTTGAAAATACCTGATTGACAAGTGGATGAACTAAATTGTTGAATCTTTCTTTTGTTATAAAATTTTGAGAATCGTAAGTAAATATTGTAAGTAAAGTCTTCAATATGCAGTCGAGAAGCAAGCAAGTTTTTTCTTCGCCGAATTCTCCCTCAAATACTGCGTAGCATTCCTCTTTTTGTTTGCTTGAAATTATTTGTTCCAATAATTCGGAACAATTCGCCACGAAAATACCAGCGAAAAGATTGAACAGATTTTTCAGCGATTCCGCTATTTTACCCGACAACCTGTGTAAAACAATTTTTTTTAATGTATATGAGCGTTTCTTAAACCAAAATTATAGTTATAGCAAACCTGTAAAAAGTTATAGCACGTTCGGTTTGGTCTGTATTTCTAACAGCCCAGTCGTACAGTTTATGGTACAGAGGTCTAAAAGCAGCCTCCGACAGTTTAAGTACCATTACAGTCAACGACGAAATAACAGGTGTCTCGACTGATTCAATTTGATCTAAAGGCAGCTCAGGAAAATTCGCTCTAAATTGTAGAGCAGTCAGGAAAAAGTTGGTCATTTCTACTGTCAAATCAGAGGATGATGTGATACTTTCAGAAAGTATGGACATGAGGGGTGAAACACCAGAAAATGCATTATGTTTGATTAGTTTTGTAAAACAAGTTGATACTGCTGGCACTAGAACACGATTTGGAGTTTCACTAGATAATTTTTGCCTAAAAATAAAAAATAAATTAATCTGTCGTTTGGATGGCTTGGTAAAGGTAGTTGGAATTACCTTATCATCTTGAGTTTTTGGACCAAATGGGATTTAGGTGACTCTTGCTGTTCACCGGAAAATTTCGCCGATAACAGACTCAATTCATACAAAAGGGAATCAATATATGGACTAATGAATAAAACTAAACAGTCAACTATTTTCTGCACGGATGTGACAATGCTTAGTAGAAGCAATTCATTTCTGTATAAAATAAAAGATAAAATGATTGTTTTATTTTGTATTAATATAATTGGATAAAAAAAAATTACCCTTCTTCTTTTCTATGGTTCTGCAATTGTTTTATAATGGCAGGCATAAAAACTTGAAGTTGAAAAAGAGAATGTGCTTTGAGGGCTGTGGTCAATTCGCCAATGCACAAAACAAGAGATCCTATAAGAGCCCAATTAGGAGGAAATTCAAGTGAAATAATGCCTGATAACTTCACCAAAACCTTTAAAAAATAAATAAATAACAAACAGTTAAGACTTTTTAAAATTATTTTAACAACCATTTTGAACTCGTCTTTGTAAATATGGGCAAGATGTCTAGCCATTAATTTCATGGCTAAAAGAGCTGTTTGCTGTGTAAGCTGGACATCCTGTGAGACTTCCTGTGGCGAAATTGTGTCCAAACACAACCTGAGCGGTTTGAGAAGCCCAATGAGCACCTCAGTGGGTACGGGCCTGGGTTGCTGTAACCTCCAGCCTAAAAGTTCTATGGCTTTTCTCCTAATGGCCTCTAATTCGTTGTTCATCAAACTCTTAACAACCCTTAGGAACATCGCAGTCGGCAATAAAGCATTGATCTAAACAATTAAAATACGAAAGGTTACAAATAAAAATATATTTTCAACAAATAACAATAACTAAAACCTTTTTCTACCTTGTCTAGAATGTCATATGTCTGATTTAAAACTGCCTTCCAGTACTTTGCCGTAGGCTGCCCAGAAGAAAGTTCTACCTGTTTAAGAACACTTCGAATATATATTAAATTTTGTTCAAGAATGACTTCAAAAAGTCCTTCCAAAGATTCACTTTCATCTTCAGCTAATTCTGCTATCTAAAAAGAAATTCCGAATAAAATATTTTAAAAATCCAAGCAGTTAGCTATTATCATATTACCTGTAGAACAAAAGTGTTTGAAGAAAGTAAATAAGACATGAACATAACAAGTGTGTATTTATAATGTCGTAATTGTTTTCCAGTATTATCATTGACATTAAATATTGATAATATTAGATTGTCTTTAACTTTTTGGACGTTTTTATCATCTAAAAAAAATTAATATAAGTAAGATCAAAAATTGAGATGAGCCCTTATTACCCTTATTCCAATTAATTTTAATTTGTATCTATGGTTTTTGGTTGAGATTCAAAATTAGTGTCACGAGCAGGATTCAAACCCACGACCTTCAACTCTTTTCTGACTTCAAAGTCACGATAGCTCATGTGACTAGAGCAGCAGCGTATTGAGCCAAAGGTCATGGGTTCAAATCCCACTCGTGACACTAATTTTTCATCTCAACTAAAAACCTTAAATTAAAAAAATTATTAATTGGAATAATTAATATGAACAATTATGACCACTAAGCAAATATGGTTTAATTACCCTTATTGTTTGGCAATGCTGAAACGTGCAATAAAAGTTTATGACAGGTCAATAAAATGACAGGTGGAGGGAATTCTCCGCATATCTGAAGTGCTATATCAAGTTTCTTGGGTAGAACAGTATTTTCTTGAAGGCCAAAATTGCCTAAAAAAATTATTTTAAAATTAAAACAATGCTAATAAAATCATTTTAAGTAAACTGTTCTTAATAAAATACTAACTTAGTTCGGTGGATTGTGTGGTTGGTCTTAAAACCTGGCTTTCAAACACTAAAAGGAGGAATATCCATAAATATTTTCCATCCTCCAATGTAACCATTAATTTACGCATTACAGGTATTCTTCTATGCTCAGGGACATCAAGCAGAGCGGCAACAAATACCCTGATCACATTACAGACCGACAGTTCTAGCTCTTGATGCGATGAAGTCTAAGAAAAAATAAAATTATTATCATACAATAGACACCCTACGCATAAAATGTTAAAAGGTGAGCTCAAGGAGGGACAAACCATGGCCCCTCTAATAAATCAAGAAAAGAAACAGTTGAAAGCAATCATTACAGACAGGAAGAAGGTCAGGTGTAGTACTAGCCAGGAACAAAGGTAAGGCGGTCAAGAAGCCACTGGAAGACTCCACGAAGCCATCCAGCAGATATAAAACTATAGTCTAGTAGTATCAAATGTAGTGAAAGAATATTGGAGAAACCATTGGGCTGAAAGGAATAAAAACAGCCCTGCTAAACTGTCGCTGGTTTAAAAAGAGGGTAGTCCTGGGTGCATGAAGAATGGGTTGAAGAGTGGGAAAAAAGAGGCCAGGAACACACTACCCGACGCAAATCCAAAGTCCAATTTTCCATAAGATTCTATCACCCCCGCGATACCACGCCATGCTACCCTACTCTACGCTCTGCGATCCCCACTGCCTAGATTTTCGTCGGGTCACATCGAGTACAGTCGAAGATAAAAGCACTGGTCACTCATATTTTTATTCAAATTACAAGTATTATTGTCGTTATATTAATTACAATAAATTCAAATCAAATTAACCAAGATCAAAAATTCATTAGTTTTTATTTAAAAAAATTAATTTTAATGGTTTGGTAGAAAATTTATCAAAATACCGGAATACCATTTTTTGATATAATGAATTTGACTAACGATTTATTACACGTTTTGCTCGAAATAATGCATTAAGAACAAAAGAGGCGTTACGATTGTGATACTGATTTGTGATACACGCTGTGTGACTGTACGAGGCATGCTCTTAATGTTGTATAGATGTGCACACCCTACCAAAACGTGGCAAGGCATCGGGTAGTGCCGCATAGCGTTGCATCGGGTGTATTCCCAGCTTAAAGATCATACAATCTGGCCGGAAAGGGACCGCTTAGGATACAAAGATAAAATAACAGTTAAGCATATTTTCAACTGTAGAAGACTTGATATATATAAACAATAATTTTGGTATATCATCAGCCATTGATACGTTCTTACTATTTTTTTATATTAATTTTTTAAAACTTATTTTATGAAAATAGATCCTAACTTTGATGAACTACCTAGTATAATATACCTTTTAAAATCTATTATTAAATAATTACCTTTATTAATACTGGTATGATCGTATCAATAACTTTTGCTATTATTTGAAAACTGTAAGCGTCATCTTGCCGCAGTACAGAAGATCCTATAAAAGTAAATATCGCCATTATGTTGTGTAGAACTTGTTCAGGTATGAGATGGGCGATGTAAGTCAGGGTCAAAAGGGCGTGATGGTGTGTCTGAGGGTTGTGAGAAGCCCTAAGACAATCTACGACCAGATCGACGTGCAATGTTTCCTGCGATAGTACAATATTTTCTGATTTTTCAGTCAGACGTTCACAGCAATGGAGAATGCTGGATAGGACCAACTGTTTATTATATTCTACTGGCCCTTGTTCCTCAAATTGTAGACATCTGTAAATATTAAACAATATTATTTATTTATTTATTATATAACTGAAAGCTTACTTTTTTAGAATGTTGAATAAAACTGGCAAAAGTAAATTTATCGATGTTAACTTCTTTTTATTCTGAGTCATTTCAAGCAGACAAACTCCTTTTTTCCATTCAAGACTTTCTAAAATCTCTAACGATGGAATGGCAGCAATACTGTAAGAAAAAAGATTATCATTTAAATATAACGCAGACTAGTAAATTAAAAATTAATATGTGTTTATGGTGGACGTAAGAACATCATACATATTTGGTAAACTTTTACCTTTTTCTCAATCTGGGGCGTAAACCCTTTTTCTCCGCCAGAAGAGGAGCCTGCACGGTGATCATGGGATATAACAAAGACACCAGAATTTTACAGTCAATAGCAATTCTCTTAAATAACGAGGCACAAGCTGAAATCACTTGGGCATTTTCAGAATCGGTTATATTTGTTATAATAAGACATAAGAGTTTCTCTTGATTTTCCATTTTGGGTTCAGGCATGTTCTCAAACAAATCTCTTGATATCTGAAATCAAATATTCATTTTGGAATAAATACTAGTTTTTTAGATTGTTTTTTTTTACAAACCTGATTCATTAAAACAGCGGCAGGACAAATTTTTTTGCCGGCCTCAGAATCGTCCATTTGCATCCTGTGATCAGAGAATCCTTTAGCGAGAAAATCCCAAATCTTCGGCTCATTCACACAATTAATGATCTGTGGATTAAATCTTTTCAGAATAAAAGAGAGCACTGTCGATTCGACTTCACTTAAAGTTTTCGTTTCATTGAGAAGTTCCATGGCTAAAGGAAGAAGTTCATAGAATAATTCCTGAAATAACAATTATTTTTGATGAAACAATTACTAATCAAAGGAATTTATTAAATTAACTACCTCGGACTGAACAAATTCTAAAATCTGTAACAACTTGGCTTTAATGTACATTGGTGTGGAAACAGAAGTAATGGTGGATAAAAGGGTTGTTAATACTTGTCTAAAGCTTTCTCGCTTTGATGTACTAAGCATAGATGAAATTTCTTTCACCGGAGACAAATGCGAATAAGCAAAAATAACAATTTGCCTGAAAAAAATTAATAACAGATTAAACAGAAAAAAATTTATTGCAAAATGCCGGCTTACTCATGGTCAAGCTTCAGTTCAATAGCAAAAGCTGCAAGCTCGTCTAAAAGAGGTCTGTAAAATTCATTTGCCAGAGAACCAGTGATAATCTGAATAATATTGATAACTCCAGTTCGGACAGGCTCATCCTTAGATCCAAGTAACATCATCAACGCAGGTACCACTGCAGAATCTTGTTTTATCAGAGTAGATAGCAAGCTTTCGTCATTTCTTATTATATCTTCAATCAAGGAAATACACTTTTGTCCAAGAGAAGAGTCATAGATGAGTGCGTTGAGGAGAAAATTTATCTGCGTTTCCACATTTGGAAAATGATTCTTTCAAAAACAAAAAAATATCCATTAAATTTCGTAATCTACATCGTTTTAGAAGTGAAGTTGTTTAAAATTTAGGTAATTACCTTAAGGAAAATAATTTGGGTTTTCGAAAAAGCTTTTTTGATTTGTTTCTTCTGAGATTGGATTCCTTCATGAATCACTTTGTAAACAAATAATGTAAAAATATTCCCCTTTGAGTTGAAATCAAACCAAGGAGATTTCAAATGTTTTTGTGTATTGAGTGTTTTTGATGTCAAAACAGTTAAAGCATACAATGCACCTTCAACTGGAAGCCTTTCCTTTGATTTATTCAAGCATTGGCATATGGTATTTTCATTTAATAGTTCTCCATCATTTTCAACACACATCTTAAAAATATAATTATTATTTAAAATTAAAAACTGATTGTTTAATTGTTAAAAGTAATTTTAGAAACCTTGTGGCATTTAAGATAATCAAGGAGGAAATTCACTATTTTCTTGACCCTCGTAGGATCAGGTTTTGCAGGAATGCTGTTAGCTACCATCAAAGACATGGCAAACCAGTAACGACTATTATTTGTAAAAAGCAAAGATTTTTCAAAAGCAGTAAAAATATTGTCAATTGGAGGCAATACTCCTTCTCTGGCCAAAACACTCCACACAATTTTTCCCGGATCTGCTTCTTCGTCAGCTAAAAAAGACAGTTATTTTTAAAATCTTAAGGCAATATGCTTTGAAATAAATATTTTTTGAAAGAGTTGTTTTCAATAAAATGGTACACTTTAAGTAGAGTAAATAAAATTGTAAATAATTAAACTTATAAAGTTCTAGGATTTATTATACTCACATCTTTTGATAGTGGAGAAAAAACTACAGAATTCAGGTATGTCGATATCCTTTAAAACTTTATGTTTTATTATAGGCAGTATCTCTGGTAAGGCTGCTAGGACAAATGCTGATAGATTTTCAGGAGTGACCATCGACATTAACATGGATATGGCATTTTTCAGAATCACTAGGTGAAAGCTAAATTTTGAAATCACGACAATTAAGTTTTCAAATAGCCCCTCAGGCGAAAGAGAATTGATTAAAGGTTGTGGCATCGAAAGCAGCATTTTAACAACCCTGTAGCTATCATCTTTGAACCTTTCTAACAAAGATTGTCTCAACCATCCCAACTAAAAGTCAAATGTTCAAAAATTAAGTCAAACTTTTTTTTTCTTTTTTTTAAACAAAAATACCTGTTCAGGTTCTAAATGTTTGGTGATGTGCTTAATAGCAGAAACTCTGACATCTTCATTAGTATGAACTAATTTTTCATACAGGTCATTTCTTGATATATTCACACCCAGTAAGGTTTCTAAAGCAACAGCCCCCTTTGATCCTTTCGCTGAAAGAGCTCGGGAAGCAGTTACATCAAAAACATTAGGGAAACTTTTTTCGAGTTCCCTTACCAGAGTGCTGTACCAGCATAAAATCGATTCTTCGCATTCTTCGTTGAATTCTTCTAAAAGGCAGCTAAAAATTGCAAAGTTAAATTAGGACAATTTTTTTATGAAGCGCATCGTAAGCTTACTTGAAAATTTCTTGGGCATCTGAATTGTCGAGCTGAAGTTGATTCAACAGACTTTGAACGAAAGGTTTTAACTCTTCCCCTCCTTGAATGACAAGTTTGATAGCAGAACGTAAAAGACAAACCACAAATGGAATTATAAGGATGTTTTGTTTGCTAAGTGTAGTCAGGCTTGACAAAAGCCAGTCAGTGGATGCTAATTTTTTTAATGCTGCTTCTGGCAAACTGACTTTTTTTAAAGAACTTTGACACAGCAATACCAATATGAGCGTTGTTTCTGAGTATAACTTTTTATGTTCCACCTACAAACGAAAACAAATAAAATACTCTAATGAAAATTATACATAAAAGAAATTAAAAATCCACCTACTTTACATATCTTATTAAATAGACCATGTAAAATTTTTTCCCCAAGGCAAGCTTTTGTAGACAGGCTAGCAATTATCATGTATGTTGACGCTGTGAAGTCAGGTACTGTTGAGCTCAAACCAGCCATCAATGACGGCAACAAATGGCTGATGTGAATTTCCGTGATAGTTTCTGAATATTCCAAACCTCCTATTACAGTTGTACAATAAAACCCATAAAGTGTGGCTAAACTGTGAGCTTTATTTCCATGGATCTATAAGACATTTTGTACAATATTACTATTTAAAAAGAGAACAAGACAAGCTTATTTTACAATTGATTGAGAATAATATACTTTGATAGCATCGATTGGCATGTTTGCGACAAATTTTAAAAATGACATGTCTTTTGCAGTTCTATTTAACAAGGCTATTTTTGATAGTGGCACGCCTTCCCTTTTGACGTTGTACAACCAATGCCAAGTTCCGACTTGCTCTTGGATCGGAATCAACTGCAGCATCCTTGCAAACTGCATCGTTTCATGATACGGGAGTATAAGAAACATAATATCATCAACATTAAACTCGTGTATGTGGTATCTAAAAATCACAACATATATTGCATTTGCATCTACAAAGCGAGTGCAATTCTCACCTATTAATAAGCCATTCGATTGCTTTGTGTGATGATTTAATTAGAAAATAAGGCGATAATAACACCAGGAAATTTCTAATGTGATAGTTCAGCTTTTCATTTGTTTCTTGCGTTTCCATTGAACGCTCAAATCCTTTGGAAGTAACATCAAACAGAGTCGTTTCAAATGATGCAAAATTTGGATTCAATGCCTTCAGCTCTTCAAGTCCACTGATTCCTAAATTGGACAAGTTAAACATGTTATTTTGTAATTTATATTATATTTTGGGGGGACTGCAGTTGCCAAGTGGTTAGCTCATAGGCCCCTCGGTGGTCGTGGGTTCAATTCCCCTTGTCTATCACTCTCCCCTTCCCCCATATAAAACAACCAGCGCAAGTATTGTTCTCTAGCTAATATGGAAAATAATAAGGGTACTAAAAAAATTGTTAATTATAATTTTATTAATTCTTTAATCCATTGAGAATTGGATGTTTATTTAAGCAGAATACATATATATACAATTCTCAGTTTTTATTAAAATTCCTTGCTAATATTGTGATGCGTGTTTTATACTGTTGTTAAATAATTATCAACTATTATTGTCATTTTTTTCTATTTTTTTACAACATCCCATGTTAAAAAGTGTTATCGGAGAGTGGGTAAGCCACTAACCATAACCAATTCCTAGATAAAAATTTCACAGTTTCAAAAATTGCTCATATTTTTTGCTCAGACAACTGCTGTAGAGCCAGTGTGAGAGAAATTTCCCAACAAATTGGAGTTTCCAAACACATACAAAATGTATCTACAAAGATCCTGCCATTGAAAAGCGAAACAGAAAGCAATTTACCAGTGAATATATATTATGGAGAAAGGAGTGTAGAAAAGTAATTTTTAGCGATGAAAAACATTTCAATTTTTACGGTTTGATGGATTTCGATATTATTTTCGTGTTCTAAGAAAGGAAAAATGTTTTTAAGTAAGCATCAAATAGGTCGTGGTATCATGGTTTGGGCTGGGATAGAGTGCTATGGAAAAATTGAGTCAAAATTTTGTTTAGCAAAAATGAACCTAAAAATTATATTGATATTATTAAGCAACGAATTTTGCACCCTCAGGGTAAGTCCAAAAAACTTTTAGGGTTGCGATTTTAATGTTTAGACTTTTTGTTCTAACTTAAAAAAGTGTATTGTGCTAGCGTTTCATCAAATTTAATGTAGATGACCTAATAAATAGGTATTTTAATTTATTTAATTATATCTCAACTTTCTGGTACTTACTTGTATTCACCAATTATCATACCACCACTTATGCAGTTATTCATGTATACCTTCTATATGCTCAAATGATATTAAAAAACACTATATTTTACAGGTGAAATATTAATTCAATTGTTATCAATGAAACAAATTCTAACACAAGGAGGTCTTAAAATTTTGTAGCACCCACATTCATTAGGACATAAGCAAATACACTTATTCTGTTTCACTATATGAGTTATTCCAGTTTACAAATAGACAAGTAGAATTATCAAAATGTTGACGTAACTTGTCAAGATGTCTCAGAAGGTACATTTTGTTTAAAAGGATATGTTTCCTTCTTGACTTAAAATTATACATGGTCTGCAAGGCCTAAATTCTTACTGGAATATGCAAATTTGACTTATCCAGTTTCCCCCTGAGAGAGCAGAATTATTGAAAGAGGAGAAGAACTGACAAAAGAGAGGTTCATCTTTCAGCAAGACAACAACACAACCATTCACAGGCGTGAATAGTACGTAATATCCTTGAAAACAAAAATATTTCAGTTTTACCCTGGCCAGCCAGTTACATAGCTATATTAACTAATACTAACTATATTAACTATACTAACATTATTGAAAACTCTTGGAGAAAGTTATTCACAAGGTAAGCACGATCCTTTTTTTTAATATTTTTATCGTTGTTGTGCAGACATACGGTTGGTTGGGTTTTTGATAGTTGGTAATTTTTTTATTAAATCTACAGAGTCAATTCTCAACCCTAGATATTCGAAGAAGAGGCCAGTTAGGCCTTGAAATGTATAGAATGTAAAAATTATTAAGTGTTGTTTTCGTTCATCAAAAACCCCAACATTCCATAAGCAGTTCAACTCCTTAAAGTTGCTCATGAATTGCATTTTAGGACAACATCCGAAAAAAGTATATCAAAAAACTTTTTAAACCTATTCAAAACAGATGTGAAAATTTCGGAAAAGAGCAGGACAAATCTAAATGAGGTAAATAGTAAGATCACTGCAAAAACAAAAAAATAATAAAGTGTACATTGACATTGACAAAACAGTCTTGCCCTCCAATGTACATTAATAACAAGGAGCTACAGACTTCCACTCCACTCTGGAATCCCCACACAAGACTTAAGAGACAACTTAACAGAAGACTTTTCGGACCATTTTTTTACCCGTCAAAATAAAACAGAATAAAAACAGGACAATGCTTGAGGGACATAAACCCCCACTTCCTAAGCCCCTTTCATCTATTCAGGCCATTACATACGGATTGGTAATGAGGTTCTGCCAAGCCATCCGATATCCAGCACATTCAACCCTTCCAATCACAAATCTTCAGACATATCAAAGCTTCTTACTATGTTTCAATGCTGAAATATGTTTGAGTAGTTCAACAAACCTGCGAGTGAGACGGACCCAGTATTGGTTCAGCATGAGCTCACACACTCGCAGACCAACACCCAGCACCAACTCATCTTAACCTACTATCCCATCCCGAGAACCCGTCATGTTGTCTCATAAGATTATGGCCTACTTCCCCTTAATTTCCCATATTTGAGTGCCAGTGTTGGCTGGTGTAACATGCGTCCTCCAGGTGTAGTGATGGCCATAATCTATTGACTGGGAGAAAAAAGATGCACGTATATGTAATCAATATTAATATGAATCAGTTCATTATTCTTTTTATCTAAGGTTTACGGTTGAGACGAAAAACCTTAGATAAAAATAATAATTAATTGGAATAATTAATATGGTCAATTATGATCACTAAGCAAATATGGATTTATATGTATATTTATATATGGGAACAATAGTGTCGTTTTATTGATGAACTCCAATATTTTTAATTTATTCCAATTAATTATGCCTTTAATATAAGGAATAATTAATTAGTATGGTCAATTCGGGCTACTCCAGAACCCCGTCTCAGCTACGGTGTTCCAGCCTACATTCAACAAATATGGAGATGGTAGATAATTTTGTCAGGGAGTGTATGATAAACTGATCTTCACTGACCATTTTACTCAATTGCAGAGTGTAAAACTGAAAGTGTATCCTAGTTTTCCTCGATATTTGTCACGAAAATGATTATAAGGAAATTATGTGTATGTTTTATTATTTAATGAGGTCTAACAAATGGGATGAGCCCCCACCAAGTTTCCATGTTTTTTTTCTTTCTCAACTATTAACTTAATATACTTAACTATTTTACTTATTATAATTGCTCAATAATTAATTTTTAACAAAATTGTCGTGTTTATTTTTTAAGCGTAATTAAGTAAGGCATACCGATTTCATAAAAGGTGTCTCTGTCGAGGCGTGCTGCTTCTTTGGAGTCGAACAGGAAGGACGCCTTTTTCTTCTTGTGTATCAGCAGATTCGTCTGCGGGGCTTCGAGGCGCTTGAGCTGCGCTGCTAAGGACGTGATCGGCATCGCTGCTAAGCACGGGACTTACTGCTTTGCTTAAATAATAAAATAAAATAACAACCAAACAAGCACGTGTCGGATTGTTGACGGCTACCTTGCTGTAACCTCAAACGTGGTGTAAGAATAGAGGAGGTTATTTTTGATAAGCTCTCATGTATCGTATTTGCAGTGCATCATGGTCATGGGAAGGCTCGTCCTACAAATTTTAAAGAATGTGGAGATGCATGGAAAATTTTGTTTTTAATAACCCTTAATTAAGTGATTAAGAATTCATTATTTTGTTAAACATTTTGTGCTATTTTTTTAAACAAGGGTCTTATAAAATCATGTACTTCGCTTCGTTCTTTAGCACGGATAAAGGTACGTAAATCATTTTTACCTTCGTGACAAATCTTCATGAAAATGTATATATTTAGTTAAAAAATAACGTTTTGTACATTTATCGACCAACTTATGCAGATAAAGTTACCTTGGATATTATCATGGATGAGGACAAAGAAAGATATTTTTAATTTTAAATCTTCGCCTAACTTTCGGAACTTTATTGTAGCTACTTCAGGACTATACAAAAGGATCTATTTCACTTTAATTTTAATTTTAATTTTGGCCAATTAAACATTAAATACATATAGGAACGAGACGTACATTTTTGTACTTGCTGATTTTTGATCAGAAGTATATAAACTAAACTTAAATTCTTTGATTTTCATGTCAACACTGAAAACCTTTTTTATTTTCTTCTTCACTTTTCAACTATGAAATGACTAGACTAGTTTTATATAACATCCCAGACAGAAATCATAGTTGAGAAGGTGAAGAAGAAAGTGAAAAGGTTTCCAGTGTTAACATGAAAGTAAGAGAACTTAAGTTTATATGCTTCTGACCAAAAATCAGTAAGTACAAAAATGTGTGTCTTGTTTTTATATACATATTTGATTTTAAATTGGCCAAAAGTAAAATGTTTAATAAATCCTTTTGTATAGCTCTGAAGAAGGTACAATCAAGTTCCGAAAGTTAAAGATTTAAAACTATTTAATTAAAAATATCTTTCTTTGACCACATCCCTCATAATAACAAGGGAACATTATTTTCAACAATCACCAATAAAAGACATTTTTAACATTATTTAAAGCGAATGAGTGTGTCTGTGTATTTTATTTGTTAAAACAATGCATCATGCTCCATGCTCCACCACCTGGAGTGTTTCATAAAATTTGACGTAATAAAAGACATTACATAATGACAACTTACAAATGGCACTTAGATATATTCTCACTCAATTTCAAAAATTTGTACTTTTAATGCAACAAATTTATAATTAATCATTATTTTAAGTATTCTAGTCGATATACACTCAAAGACAACAAAAAAACCAGTCACTTGTATTTAGTTGATTATTTTCCATAATAACTACGATCACTAAGATCAAGGGTGGATTTTATACAGTGATATTTATGAAACAATAAATTTGCGTAGAAAAAAAATTTTTTTTTCTTAAAAGCATGGTTTTAAATCGAGATCTAGCCCGGGCAGAAGTACATACCTGGGTATGCTACGCTCTATTATCGATGATGGTCTCAGTGGTTTAGGGCGGTAAGTCTTGAAGAGAGTTGTCGACCGCGATGGACGACGGCTAGAGATGATCGTTTTACCACATTACGAAACCGTCTTTTAACGGCTTGATAAGTATCAACTCCAACGGTCCGTACTGAAGGGCGAGCTCTAAAACTGTCATCAGAAGGCTTCGTGAGAATAGCCTAGTCTCTAGACGTCCTACATCATCTTCTCTACTGGAGAGGCATCGAGCAGAAAGGCGACCATTCTCAAATCAGCAGCTCGCTTGGAGACTTGTGAAGTTTTGAGAAGTTTGATTTGTGAAAATCAGATGACCGGGACCGTGTGTGGAGAAGAGTGGTGAATACCATGCGTGAGACATCCTTTTTCAAAGTCAGTCAGTTAAGGCATAGGGTGGAATCTACGTCTATGCCACGAACGGATTATCATACAGAATAGATCTTTGATGACACTAAGGTACATAGAGGAAGTTCTGGAGCTGAGGTCCCATTTGCTCCATTTATTGGAGACAACTTCGTGTTAATGCATGAAATGCTCGACCCCATGACCACCCAGTACGTGGAGGATGACGGTATTACCACAATGAATTGGCCAGCGTGACGTCTCAGGAGACGTCGGGACGTCAACCCTATAGAACACTAGGAAGGTAGGTACATCATAAAGAAACGTGTTAGACATCTTTCGCTGCCGCCAACAGCTTCAAATCGCTCTTGTTGAAGATTGGCATTCTGTTTCACAAGAGAAATCCGTCGCTCATTTACTCGATTCCAAGGAATTTTAAGGCCCTTCCAGAGGCCAGAGGTAATACGCGTTATTAAGAGCAAAAAGTTCACATTAAAATAACAGTGACATACATCTGTACACACACATGTTGATCAATCGACACAAAGTTATTATAAAATATAGAGAGTGAAGACAAATGAGTCCACGACCTTTGCAACTGGAGAACATCTGGGCCTGTAATTGGACGAAGCAGTCTTAATTCCCTTTTGTGAAGAGGTAACACATACCATAACTTCCACTTATCAAGAAATATACCAGATCCAATACTCAGCGAATGACATCAGTGCCTCAAGCAAATTTCGAGAATACCATCAGGTCCCACAGTAGGGGGACACACCATCAGGTTTTTAAGTAGTAGTATTATCCTACTACTCCTTAATTCTATGCATCCAACATTGCCTCTTATTTTTCTTTGAATTAGAGGTAACGCTACAACACAACGAGTGATTCTTCGTTCGAACTTATATTCCATAACAACATTTAAAAAAAAAAGTCGTGAAGATGCAGTATACCCTCTCCGGAAGAAAACTATTGGTCTGGACACGTTCCATCTCGTTCTATATTATTGCATAGATCGCCACAATGACCTCTTGATCACTTTCTGTCTAGACGGGCAAAATATCCTGGCGTTAGCAACGGACAAACACTCATTCCAGGATGCAACATTAGCCATCCGATCTGCTAATTTATTTCCTGATAACCTCAAGTCAAATGCGCCCTAGCCAATGAGAACGAGACGGTGGAACTTCGCTTAACTCTCTTTAAATTGCTTCTTATTTTTTCAATAAGAGGTGGATGCAGGTTGATAGTAAGCAAGGCGTCAAAGATGATTCTACCATCTGTAGCAATATTCGAATCTTGGTTGCGTTGCTAGACTTTTGATCTAGCTTTGACAATCGCTAACTGTTTACCCTTGCAGTGCAAATGTTTATCAGACAACCACGCCGAGCACAATTGTCACTACATCAATGAAAATAAAGTAACTGTATGCATGGAATCAAAAGTACCGAAAGGCAAACACGGCGTTCACAAATGGATCAACTGAGCTGTCCACTAAGGTTGAAGAATTGTCGGATTTTCAGCTTTTGAGACGAACATTTGTTGCGAAAACATTTGCATTCCCAAAAAAGGCTCACGTCTATCTGAAGCAAAGATGCACAAGCAGAAAGAACTTAGCAAATCTGTGGCGATACGCTATCAATCCTGCCATATTAATGTGTTTTTTTACATACATTCATTGATTCCTTGACATTTTGATTAAGCTGACTAGAAACTGCCATAAATCATAGGATGGCAGTAAATGAACCTGCATATTTGGAACCCCATTCCACTTACTGTGAGACAATCTTTACGCACTTTTCCGAAACGAAAAAGCACGTCGTTCAGCACACTCTTTGTTTGTTTTTAATGCAGTTAACGCAGACTTTAGTGATCGCCCAAATCTACTGTTCTTGTTTTTTATTTGTCTGCAAGTATATCTTAAACCATTCGAAATCGAGCACACTTTCATTTCAGGATTGTCCACTTTCTGGAACTCAAAATCATAATAAATAATTCGCGATGACGGGACAAAAGTTGCGACGAGTCCCAGATTAAGGGAAATTGCCGAGTGACCAAAAAAAGGAAGAAGTGAGTCATTTCACAAGATAGTTATCTCAAGCATGCTCATCTTCCACCGACAACATCTATTCCTCAACTTGCCGGCTTACAGGAACTTCTGAATTACCTTTCTCTTTTCACCCGGCCACGGGCTCGACCTTATTCAGCAAGATAGAAAAATTATCGCATTGAGAAAATACGACCAGGAAACAAAATTATGGGTGTTTTGCGTTGTTTATTTTAAGCAATACAGTAGTATAAAATTGTTCATCTCGCAGTGTAACAAAAAACTTAAAATTCCGGAGATCAGATAAGAAGATTGGAAATATTCTCACTATGTGAGGAGCTGTAAAAAATTATCCTACCATTGGACCTTTGAAGAGGTTATTTGACAACTTTTACGAAGATTTTCGTTTTTCACGAGATATCTTTGAGCAAGCGATGTTGCGATGGCATTAATAATTCATTTTTTGTCAATTATTCAATTGCTATTAAATTCTGTGAGCAGAACCATCATTTACCAAAAAGATGAATCTACATACTCACCCCACCTTTACTATTTCTATTAATTATTCATTTGTTAGATTTCTTCTCCGAAGTCTGCGAGGTGGTGCAAACACAATCGGACCAAAATGATCGGAAATGACTGAGAAACAGTCTAAAAAAATTGACATACTCGAGGAAGGGTAATCTTTTCAGCTCAAAAATTTGACTGATGTTGCAGAAACAAGACCGGAAGAATGTTTCTGTGTCCGGCGTAAACAGTCGGAGGAAGAGCGGAAGTGTCATGGGAGAGTACACATTCGGGCCTTCTGTTGATGACCTTACCACGGATACGGCGATTGGACCGCTGATATTGTTGTTTTACCACTATGACTGTCTGCAAAATGCACCAGATGCCCATGACGCTTTATAAAAAAAAATGGCACTTAAATCTCTTGAAATTACAACGTTTTTCAAGTGCGATAATTTTTATGTTGTGTCATTAAAACTTCAAAACCCCTTTCACTCTTTAATATTTTTTCGTAAATAAGTCTATCTAGTAAGAAAAGTAGATACACTTTCTCATCGTCACAAAATTTTCTTTGAATCTCCAAAAAATCAGCCATCATGAAGATCATGGTTCGTCCGTTTTCGATCATCGTTGGAATTT